CTAGGGCGCCCAGGAGCAGCTTGTGAGCGCTTTAGCACCGGAGTGGCACAACTGCTACCCTGAGACTCCCTGCTGGGGTCCCTTTCAGCCGGTCATGGAAATATACTCCTTCAGGTGCTGCCAGCCACGGGCCAGGCCTGGATGGTGACGTGCTGTTTCCGTTGTGCTTCCAAAGAATTTAAGCAAGAGGGGCCCGTACCCTACAGGAAACACCCTTCCCAAGTTCTTGGAGGTTGCCTTTAGTTTTAACTTCTGCTTGGCAAAGAATGAGTGGGACCTAGAATAAGGAGAGGACTTCTTTTGTGTGTGGTCTCAGGTCCATCTGCACCCCATAATGACCTGGGGGTCAGTGTGCGGGGGACAGGACCTCAGCAGGAGCTGAGCAGCAAAGCTGCCCTTGGAGTCATTACCAGTGCTGTCCATACCCGCACTGCATCGTGGTAGCTTCCACACTGGCCTCTGGACACTGGCGCTTGCAGTCAAGGGTGTCCTAAACAACTTACGGAAACCCCCACATCTGAAGTTCCACACAAGCTGCTACAGTGATTTCAGTTAATCGTGTGGCTGAGAAGCAGGTTTTCCTGCGATGCTGGAGTATTTCAGCTGCCACTCTGTGACTGCAGCTGCCCACCATTCGGTGATCTGTCCATCATTTTGAAAAGATTTGTCTCTGCTGTAATTAAGGTCTGTGTGTCTAAGGCAAATATGGTGTTTCATCAAAGCCAATTTCTCTTTTCTAAATAAACATCTTTTAGGAGTCTTTCCTTTCTCTTTCTATCTGTACAGACTATCGTACCTGGCTTTCAGTTAATAACAGCAATACCTAGTGATTGCCAAGAGCCCCACTGCAGAAATATCTGAAGCAAAGCCAAAGTACCCTTAGGCCACTGCTGTCAGCAGTGTGGTGCGAGTCCTCCTTGTCAGCGTGCTCATGATCATGCGTGACTCTAAGGACATCACTGTGACGTTGCTCTGCACACCTGGCATTTATCTTTTGTGGTAATGGAGTTTGAACTCAAGGCTTCACAGGTATTAGGTACGTGCTCTACAGCTTGAGCCATGCCCCCAGCCCTTTTTGCTTAGGTTACTTTTTAGATAGGGTCTCTCTCTCTCTCTCTCTCTCTCTCTCTCTCTCTCTCTCTCTCTCTCTCTCTCTCGTGTGTGTGTGTGTGTGTGTGTGTGTGTGTGTGTGTGTTCCCCACCTACCTATCATTTTCCTGATCTCTGTCTTACAAGTAGCTGGGATTACGGGTGTGAAACAGTGTACCCCAGCATATATCTGCTTTTAATGTCTGACAGCCAGCTAGCCACCCCTCCCTGGCAGAAGATGATGTCCAGCTTGTCATCCACACAGACAGCATGTCTGGAGCATGGCTGTGCTCGCTATCCAAGGTGGTCAATGCACCTACGTAAATATGTTAGCAAACATGCTAGATGTGGAATCACTGAGTCCAACTGCATTCCCCAAATGCTCAGTGTCCACTCAAGAGCCTAGCCACCTGTGGAACCTGAGTCCTTTTTGCTTGCCCCTGACTTGTTGGCTGCCCCAGGCTAGGAGGCTGGATTCAGACCTCCGAAGGTCCACATGCTACTACAGGGGAGATGCACTGGGCTGGGGAACCTACCCTGCCTCTGGAGGGCAAGACTTGCCCAGTAAGGACTAGCCTGACCCAGGCCCTGGCACTTGAGGGCCACTAGGTAGTTTCAATGACTTCTCAGTTCAACCTAAGTCTTTCTTGGAAAAGATGTTGTGCTGTACACAATCACGTGGAGTGCCTGTGTGCTGTCTGCTCAGTGCACCTCAGACCACCCCAAGGACAGCCTGCACTCACTGAAGACAGGGCTGGAAGTCACATGCATGCTGGACAAGCAGCACTCACCTAGCTGGTCTCCACAAGGGCCAGCAGGTGCAGGTGACAAACCAGCACCAGCAATGTGGAGGACACTGGATGTGTACTAAGCTGCTTAAGTGGCAGAAGGAAGCCATCTGCCTGAGGCAGACGGCCAGTGCTGGGCTGAGGCTGGTCCGGATGTTAAGAGTCAGAATGGGCAGAGTGACATGGTGCTGTCTGAGCCAGCCCCAGGCCTGGGCTGAGGCCCAAACACAAACCTCCCCTAGGCCTGGAGCCAGCAGCTGTGGCCATTCTGAAAACTGTTAGACCCTGCATATCTTAGACTCCTCAATTCCTTCTTCACTGAGCCTTAGCTTCATCCAGGTCCTGTTCTGAGCAGTGAACCTCAGCAGAACAGTCCTTTATGTGGTTTCATTTGGGTTGACTGGACCCAGACTAGAGGACTGGGTGCCTGTGTCAAAGGAAATCACCTTGTATAGACTGTGACACAGAGAAGGGACAAGGCCAGCAGAGGAGGACAAGCTGTGCTCTGTGCCCCCTGCCAGAGCTGGGGAGGGATTGCTGAAGTGGGTTTCAAGCCCCTGTTGGAGACTCTGGATTTGCACTGACAGCTACAGAAGGCAAAAGGGAGGAGCTCACTATGCACCCTGGTGATGCTGGAGCCTCCAGGGACAGCACAGGACAACGCACACATGGCTTTTCTTTCTTTCTTTCTTTTTTTTTTTTTTTTTTTTTGCTTTTTATTATGAAAACAAAACAAATGCCCCAGAGGAGGGTCCATGATTACCAGAAACATCAAAGAGTACTTTTCTACCAATTTTTACTCTGTGGTGTTGAGGCCGGCATGGCAAAAAACAAGCTAAAACTACTTACATCGGACTCATTTTCAGTAACTGACATTTACAGGAATATACTAGAAACGGCACTAAAAAGTTTAAGAAAAAGTACGGTAAACTTGCATGCACATCATACAGAAAAGTAACATTTTAAATATAAAAAAGAAAAACTTCCTGGAAGTGTTAGCCAGCATTAGGAGACAGTGATAAACAGGATGTGACGTCTGTGACATAGCTGTTTTTTCCCAAATGACTGTCAAAGGTGTGATGACTGCAAAAGAAAAAAACCAAAACAAACACAAAAGAAAACATGTCTTACAGCTGGTAAGCAGGCTGGCACTACCCAGCCCAAGGAGGGGTCTCTGGACCCTACGACACTGAAGCCACCCTTGGGTCTCCAGGACACTGCAGATGCCCACACCTGGCCCCTGCACATGACTACCTACCCACTGCTCCTTCCCCCTAAGGAAGCCTGAGGACAGCTGCCCTATGTCCTGCAAGGGACAATCTAACCAAGTCCCTGCAGCCTTCCAGACCTAGGAGAAAGGAGCGGCAGTCACCCCACAGCCTGATGTCAGATGTCAGGGACTGAGGGAGCCACCGGCCCACAAAAACTGAGGAGAAACAGTTTTGAAGTCTGCACAGAAAGCCTTAAAAAAAAATTACAGCACCAATGAATGATAGCTGCTCAGTAGGGACCAAGGCCCCTGCTCTGGGTGAAGGGAGCAGAGGGGGTAGCAGATGCCCCATGACAGATACTTCCCGCCTCCCAGCTCATATGGGGACACGTAACTGCCCGATAGTGTCCCCCAGCATCCCGCCTTGGGCTGAGCCTTGCCCAGACGGTACACCACCCGCCCTGTACGAAGAGACCTGCCAGTTTTGTTGTGTCAGTTCCTTAAGGTCATAGTTTAAACACTCTATTAAAGATCTGTTTAGAAAATACCTTTGAAAAACAAGGGTAACTTTAAAAAAATGGACCTTTAAAATCCACTTATATTTTTATTAAAAACAAAACTGACTTAAAATCACCAGCAATTAGAAGCACAACAGCAAGCCACCCATCTCAGCACTACATCCAGTCAGGGTCTAGCTACACCCATAAGGGCTGATGCAATCAGAATCAATTGTAGGATTTTTAAGCATCGCCCGACGTACAGCTGCTGCGGACTTGCCCTATCTCCACTCAGAAGCATGGGCAGAAACTGCAGGCCACGAGAGAGGACGGACCTCTCATGGCTCCACACCCAGCACCCCTTCTCATGGAGGTCTAGGAAAGCACATGCTTCCATCATTTTTGGGCTAATTGAAAATCAGGGACGGCACAGGGAGCACCGTGCAGTCTTTGGGACCATCTTTGTCCCTGACATGAGCAGACAGACCAAGGAGAACCTGCCCAGGCCCCGAGAAGCCAGGGGAGGTGGGCACTCCAGCTGCTGGCCTGGGAGGCTGAAGCCCCAGTGCTGAGATTGGCTGGACAGACGCTACACTCCAAAGCCACACATCAGCCTCCAAAAACCAAAACCAAAAGGGACTTCGGTTAAATCTGTGTATTACTTTTTACAACAGAAAGTTAAAAATCAAGACTTCGGTTTGCCACACCTTTTCTCTCAGAGCACAAAGCTTATATAAGTAATGGGAGTGGAGTTCCTTAAGTTGTCTCTTTTAAAACCGTCCTAAAGAGACCAGAGTGGAGATAGAAGAACTGAACAGAAAAAGAAAACATTTGAACGTGCTGTAGCTGAAAGGAGTCTACACTTGTAAGTCTCCAAATTTTATATAAAAAGAAAAATAATAAGCCAATAAACCCAGGGAGCGTGCGCAGACATGATGAGTGCCAACTCGGCACAAGCACCAGAGGGACAAGCCACCACCAGGACCTGGGTCTCCTCGAAGCCCCAGGAAGGCCTGTGTCTCCACTACTTCTCTAAATGCACTTCTTTACGGTTTTGCTTCTCTTTTTTTTTTTTGCTTTTTTTTTTTTTTTTTTTTTAAAAATGACCAATGGTGTTAATAAATAAAGTATTTATATATACACAGAACTGGGAAAGCGGCTCCAGAGTGTGTGGTGGCAGCAGCCGGGCAGCGCTAGCAAGGCTGGGACACTGGGCTGGACTCTTGTAGAAAATTGCTGAACTTACAAAAAAAGTCTTTTTTTTTTTTAATAATTTTTTTTTTTTTTTTTCAGTTGAGGTAAAAGTTTCAGTGTTTGGAAACCTGCACGCTGCACATGCAGCTGCCGTTCCCTCCCGGGAGGGTCTGAAAAATTCAGCACCCTCTCCCCCTCTGTGCCCACCCCACTGATCCCCACCCCAAAAGCCTAACGTTCTGGCCCCTCTGCTGAGGCCCCGACTGGTTCTCATGGGAAGGGGGACATCCGTCCAAAGCCCCTGCAAAGGTGGCCGCGTCAGACACGAGAGGGTCAGGACCCAAACGGCAAACACTCCACCTGCTGGTTAATGTTCTAACGGCTTTCAAACACAGTACCCATTTCAGAGAAATATCCTTGAAAAGCTTCCTTCCAAGTTATAGACCAGGCTGGGCACGAGAAGAGGGATTCCACAGGTCCTGGGACTGGGGCTCGCAGGGGGCCCTGTGGGTGTCAGGTCAGCATCTGAGCGACCCGTCGCAGAGCTCCTCCTTCTCCTCAAGTCGGATGCACACACGGCTCTCCGGCCTACTGAAGCGCAGCTGGAAGAGATCGTAACACTGAGTAAAAGAAAACCTGCACACCATGGAACAAAAGTAGTATATTAACCAAAGAAGGGGACACTGCGGAGTTTCAGCAAGGGCGGCACTGTTTGTCCTGCTCTGCTTGAGTCCAAGTTCACTCGGAGTCACTGCTGTCAGAGCTGGACCCACTGGAGCTGCTACTTGCGGACTCGGAGGAGCTGCTGCTGCTGAGCCTCGATGGCCCCCCAGAGGGTGCTGAGCCAGATTTCTCTGCGGAGACACAGGACAGGAGAGGCACTCACAGCCCGCTCAAAGGCTGGCAGCGTCTCAACATGAGCTGCACGCTACACTCTTCACCTGTTTCTTGACCCAGAGGTTTAGCAAAGACTTGTTGAGATGGATGAAGGAGCCAATGAGATCGTCTAAACAGGCCGCACATGCTAAGAATGCAGCCTAGCAACCAGAACCTGCAGGACTGGGGGAAGATGGCCCACCAGTCACGTGCTCATGAGCACTATCACACACTGCAGCGCAGGCCTTCCTGGAGGAACCCAAACTGCCATGGGTCCCTTGCAGCCGGCCGTGGGGGTGGCAGGGCTGTCAGCCTGTTTCCATACTGGACACTGGTGGGTACACACTCCAGTCCAGGTAGGACCCTGACTAACAACCACCTAGACCCTGCTTGTCCCCGTGTCTTGTGTGGCCTGCTCCTGAGGCAGCCAGGGAAAAAGGTAGGCTCTAGTTAAAGGAGGCAAAGAATCACATGTAAGGCCCCATGAGCACAAAGCAAGGACGGTCCTAGGGTGGGTCGGAGCTGGCTGCCTTACCATCTTAGCACTGTGGACTTAGGGCACTGCCTAACGAGCTGGAGGCTCCCTGCCGCCGAGGGGCTGGGGGTTCAAAGCTGCTTGAACTGAGGAGGCAGCAAGGGCAGGCCCAGCCCCAAGAAGCCCTCTCTCGGAGGCCTATCAGCCTGGGTCTTCTGGAATGTGGAGTCTTTACATACACCTGGCACCTGCAACCACCCTGTACAGGCAGGCACATGGTACTCAGATCAAAGATGAGAAAATGGAAGTTTCAGGAGGCTAAGAGCCACATCTAAGAGATCAGCTCATCATGTGGAAGACTCACAGCTTCAAACATGGACCTGACCGGTGCCTGGGCCCCTCCTGACTGCTGCCCTCCAAAAGGCGGCAAGCACAGAAGCTGCTGGTGGCATGACAACAGCAGGCCCTGGATGGGTACCTTTCTTGGTGGGCTTCTTGCTGTTCAGCTGCCCACTGACGTCCTGCAGCCGCTTCTCCAGCTCCTTCTTCTTTTCCTGAGCTAGCTCCTCCTTCGACTTGGCTGCCTGCTTCTTCCCGCTTGTGGCTGCGGAAGGACAGATGAACACTGAGATGCTCCCTACAGCCACTCCGGGGCCAGGCTGTGGCCCAGCCCCATGCACTGGACATGCACCACTCACTGCCTTCCTGGGCCAGTGCACTGATAGCACAGAGCTGCTGCTGGCTCCCTGAGCAGCAGAAACAAGCTGGATGACCTGGAACCACCACTGTCACACATACCGAGTCCTCACCACACTTTAACCCTTTAAAGCCTTGTCTTTAACCCTAGGGAGAATCCTGAGGGACGTGAACCATTCTCACCTACTGACAGGCGCACAGGAGACTGTGAAACTGTGGCCACCATCCCCCACAGGAAGGGCAGAGTCCTATCTGTCAGACTCTTGGACTCAATCCTCCCTCATCACAGCTGCTGTTCCCACCTGACACTCTCGTGTCACCACTTCCAAGTTAACGGGTGACTTACCACAGTCAAATGCTGTGACTACACAGGTCAAAAGGCAGTCCATCCAAGAAAAGGAGGACTCATTCTACAGTGAGAACCACGCACACCTGAGCAGCACAGCAAGTTTACATGAGGCTCGTCAGTCCTGGACAGTGTGGGGACTGCCCAAGCTCTGCCCTACCTCCCAGGCAGTGATTGGTTACTGTCCAGTGAAGTCAGACTTCCAGGGTGCACCTGCGCTGATGTGCATGGTCTCTGGACACTGGACCCCACCCAAAGGGGGCAGCATAAAGGACACAGTGCTCTGGGCAAGGGATCAGAGGACCCTAACTGTCCCTCAGGAAGGCATGCAGTGAGGACACTAACTGGATGAACGGGTGCCTGAGGGCCAAGCCCAGGTCCTTCCTTCCCTGGGCAGGGGAAGGGGGCTTTGGTGGGTAGAGCAGCTTGGGTCAAGACTCAGCCCCAAGTTCCTGCCTGGGCTGAGCACAGACATCCTTGGGGCTTGTGGTGAATTGGTGGAGCTGGAGAGCCTGCTGCCCAGTGCCCATTCCAAGGGGCTGTGAGGATGTGGGGGGGGCAGGAGGGAGCAGGGCTCCAAGCACCACACTCTGAGACAACTTACAGAATGGTTTCCTCTGCTTTTTCTGTAAACAAGACTTGACGTATCTCTCCAGTTCCCGCAAGGTGGTGGGTTTCAGAGTCTCAAAGTCAATCTCGATCTCATCAGGGTTGGAGTCCCTGAGCGAGGGCTCCCGGGACTGGATGATATGCACCACGCGGCCCAGCTTCTCCCCAGGCAGCCGGTTGATGTCCAGGCTGAGCTGGCGCTTCTCGTCGTAACTCATGGGCAGGCCCTCCTCCTCCTCCTCTGAGTCGTAGGACGCAGATGCCTGCTTGCCACCCTTCTTCAGCTGTCTAAGGCAGAAGACAGAGAGCAGCATGGCAGTGAGCTCCTGTCTACCGGCCCAAGTCCCCATCTGCCCTACCTCACTCTCTTCCTCCCCACTGAAGACTGTTGTCCAGGACCAGGTTTTCTTCCTAAGGGTCCCTGAGGCAAAAGGACTGGATGTTAACTCTGTCAGCCAGGGGCAGAGAAGTCCCTGCTTCTGAATGTGAACAGCTGCTCCCAGCCCAGGTTCTAGTCAGGAACCACCCATCGAGATTGGTTCCTCTGAGTGTCCCAGACACTTCTCAATCTCAGCGTTCAAAAATGGGATCTCCAGGGCTGGGGGAGTGGCTCAGGCGGTAGAGCACTGCCTAGCAAGCACAACCCCCGGCACCATCACAACAAACAAACAAAAACAAATCATCCAAAAGAAGGCAGGAAAGGGGATGAGAGGGGAAAAAAAGAGGAACAAAGAGAAAATGATGAAATAGCAGGTGAAATCCAAGTATATGAATGTAGAGCCTGTACACACGATGAAAAGGCAGAGATGATCACCATCAGATGATGAGACCTAACCTATATGCACGCCACCTGCACAATCCCACCTTAAATGTAAGGATATAGGTAAATTATAAGGGAAAAGATGGGAGAAAACACCATGCAAACACTAATCAAAAGAAATCTGGACAAAGTATTTGGCTTCAGGACAAGGAGCGTTATCAGTAAACAGAGGGTGGTGGATAATGACAAACCTAAAGGCGTGCCACTGAAAACCAGGCTTCAAGACACACGGAACAGGACTGACAGAACCGAAGGAAGGAAGGAAGAAAACCCCCCGTTATGGCAGGAGATTTTCACAATTCTCTCTTGGCAATTAATAAAACAAGTAGTGAGCAAGAGTAGAGAAGCCCTAAACAGCAGCTCCACCAAATCAATCTGCCATGTCCTCTAAGCAACATTCCACCTAACACAACGGAATACACATTCTGGAACATTCACCAAGACGGAATACATTTCAGGCCATGAAATAAATCTCTGCAGGCTTCAGGGTGCTAGAATAATACAAAATATTAACTACGAATCAATAGCCTATACACTCCCGGAAAAATCCTCAAAAACTCAAACTCAGATGACACAATTCTAAAGCCAGAAAACAGTTTGAGCTAAATGAATGTGAAATCACAACATATTAAAACTGTGGGTTGCAGCTAAAGCAATGTGCAGATGTGAATTCAGAGAGTGAAGCACTCCACTGGTGATGGTCTCAGGTCAGTAATCTAAGCTTCCACCTTGGGAAGTGGAAAGGGTATCAAACCAAGTCAGAGGAAAGGCAAAGAAATCTAGCACTGGTTCTCTAAAAGATCAGAAAATGGATACATCGATCTCTATCCAGATCACCAAGAAAAAAAGGCACATTACCAACAGCACGGATTAAAGAAAGGATGCAGCCCTTCAGATAACAAAATAATAATAAAGGAATCAATACTATGTATAAACCTGTGTCCAAAATTCAACAACTTTGGGGAAATGAATAATGTCCCGAAAGGAACAAACCACCAAAACTGACAAGAACCTGATAGTCCTGCATGTTCTAAAGTAATAAAGAATCTGTACTATTCAAATAACTGAATTCAAACTGGGTGCTGACGGCTCATGCCTGAAACCCTAGCTACTTGGGAGGCTGAGACTGGGAGACACAGCTCGAGGCCAGCCTGGGGAAATAATTCATGAGAACCCTTCTCCAAAATAACCAGAGCAAAGTGGACTGGAGGTGTGGCACAAAAGGTAGAGTGCCTGCTTTGCAAGTGAGAAGCCCTGAGTTCAACCCGAGTCCCCTCCCCGACCACCACCAAAAAAGGAATTCATAGTATAAACGTTGAACAATAAAAACTCCAGCCCCAGATAGCTTTGCTCCTTGCTGGTGGAACTCTAAGTATTTAACACCAATGGACTGGTGGACTGGCTCAAGTAGCAGAGTACCTACTAGCAAGTGGGAGTTCAAATCCCAGTACAGCCAAAACAAAAAGAATTAACATCAATTCTATAAACCTACCCAAGAAAATAGAAGGAACACTCTCATTTTTTAATATTGTCCTTAACTACTCTAGAATATTATAGTCTAACATTTTTCTTTTGTGTTTCTTTTCTCTTTTCTTTTGGTACTGGGGTTTGAACACATGGCCTTGCACTTAGCTAGGCAGGCGCTCTATCTCCTGAGTCACTCCTCCAGTTTATAGTCCACCATTTTTGAGACCTGCATTAAATTGATACCAAAACCAGACACACAGTAAAAAAACAAACAAACAAACAAACAAAACCATCTAATTTGTTCATTCCCTTCAAAAGAAGAGAAAGAAGGGCTGGGATGTAGCTCAGCAGTAGAGTGCTTGCCTAGTATTGCGAGGCCCTGGGTTTGATCCCAGCACCAAAAAAGACATTAAAAAAAAAAAGAGAGAGAGACAAAAGAAGAGAAGTAGTGAATGAAACACCACCAGCCACTTCCCCCCATCTCAATTAAGGACCTACCCAGCTACCAAAACCCAAATCCCAGGTCTACACACCCTTTCTCCTTCATGTCTAGGCCCTAAGGCCTGCCCATTGTGCTGCTCCAAAGTTTTCAAAAACAATTTGCCTCTCTCCAATGCCACACCAACTTCTGCCTGTATGACCACTCCTGGGAGGTATACTTTCTTCCATGACTGCTGCCCACAGACCAGTCCTCCATTCTGGTCAGAACTGACCACTCCAGCCCTCCCCAAAACCAGCCAAGTATGCCAGCCTCCATTTGCCTCTCTTCCCAAATGATCTTTTGCAGCAGTGCCAGTTCTGTCTTAATTCCAAACATGAACAAATCTGCTAGCCTCAAGGCTTTGTACCCAGCTTGTGTCGCCAACCTGCCCTTGCAGCAGTCAGGTGGCTGACAAGAGTCCTTCCCTCACACCTGGTCCCCCTCTGCTGTTTCTGCACTCCTTGGGATGGGACCTAGCTGCAGCAGGAGCTAAATCAAAAGGCTGGGTGCCAAGGCACCATCCCACCACCCCAAACCCCTGCCAGGATGGGCCAGGAATGGCGCATCCACTACCCCAGTGAAGATCCTTGGTCCAGATCAGGAAAAGGTCCCGAACACTTGTAGAGGCAGAGGTCTTCACCAGGCAGTGTGAATCGCAATGACCAGAATCAAAGCCAGCCCGTGGACAGGTAAGGGCGGCCCCCAGAGTCCAGGACTTTCCTGGCAGAGGTCTCATTGGATGCTCTTGGTCTGCCTGAACCCCCCGCCCCAGTTTCCGTGGTAGCCAAGGTGCAAAGTCCCACATCCAGCACTCCTCTGCAACATGAGCACCATGGCCTGCTGAGGGCTGGCTCCCAGAGGGCCTGGCAGGCATGTGCCCACCTGCTGGCTGCAGTCGTGCTGTTGGCCTTCTTGGTAGGAGGCTTCTTTTGCTGGGCCTGCTTGGCAGGTGGGGCCACCTTGGCTTTCTTCTCCTCCTCAGACTTTGCCCTGTGCTTTTCCTTGTCCTTGTCCTTATCCTTGTCTTTCTTCTTCTTCTCCTTCTCCTTCTTCTCTTTCTTCTTCTTTGGTTTGTTCACTGGGGCCTGAGACAGGGCGGCCAGCTGCTCATGCACGGCCTTCAGCTGGAAAAGAGCAGACAGCTGAGCAACTACCCAGGCAGACCTGTGCCACAGAGGCTGGCCCATCGGGGGTACAGGGCGAGGGGATATAGGCACCCCTGCAGCTGCCTTAGCTATACAGGAGATGAGCCAGGAGATCCCACCCCTCTCTGCCTTCAGAAGCCAGGTGTGGGAAGATACTTTGCAGCCCACTCTGCTCTTCGCTCTGTGTGACTGCAGAAGGTAAGTCACCTTACTTTCTGAGTCTCAGTTTATTCACCTATGGAAGGAGGGGGAAAGACAAGATACCCACCTCCTGGGGTGGCTGGTCACAGGTTCAGTATGGAGTCAGTGGCATAGCTAATAGAGTAGTAATAGTAACAACAGCTAAGACTTTTACTATTAATTCTTATTTTCAGAAGAGAAAGAACCTAAATGCGTAAGCATCTGCACAAAGGAAACTTTTTTTTTTTTTTTTGCAGCGTTGGAGACTGAACTGCATCAAACACAGGCTAGGCAAGCATTCTGCCACTGAGCCTCTGTCCCCAACCCACAAAGAAGACTTTCAACAGCTATTTCTGGGAGTTATGCAGCAAGGCTGCAGAGTAAAGGGACTCAATGCCAGTGGCTCATATCCTCTGGAGACCGAGCTCAGGGTGAGAAGGGTCACTACGACCAGCAGGAAAGCTGAGCAGACAGCCTGTCCCAGCACCTGGGTGGTCTGGGTAAGGCCGCATAGCTGGGGTGATGGTGGGTGTGGAAGGGAAGGCAGGGGAAGTCCTACCATCCTGATGGCCATACCACAGGGCCATCTTCCCTGCATGTGTCCTCGTCATCTCAAAGGCAATGTGTATGGCTGGGTGCCAGGGCCTCATGCCTGTAATCTTAGATACAAGGGAGGCTGAGATGGGGAGGATCACAGTTTCGAACCAGCCCAGGCAAAAATTTTATGAGATCCTAGTTCAACAGAAAACTCTGAGCTTCGTGGAGCACACCTATCACCCAGTTATGGTGAGAAGCATAAAGCAGGAGGATCATAGTCCAGGCTAGCCTGAGCAAAGACACTATCTCCAAAATAACCAGAGCAAAAATGGCTGGAGGTATGGCTCAAGCAGTAAGAGTGCCTGCCTAGAAAGTGTGAAGTCCTGAGTTCAAGCCCCAGTACTGCCAAAAAAAAGAAAACAAGCCAATCTGCAGTCCAATCTGGTAACCATCTCGGCACTGACGGCCCAGTGCTCCTCATGGAGCCGGCCTCTTGATCCACGCTGCTCTCCTCCTGCTTCAGCAACTCTGCTCTATGCTTGCCCTGCCTGAAGTCTCAGGAATTGCACACCTGCCTGGCTGCTAAATTCTGGGAAAGCAACTTGCACTTTTCTTGATTTATGCTCAAATCATAACGGGGACTTAACATAGTTCCACAGTGCAAATGAAGAGAGGGAAGCAGAGGAAAAGGGACACCTAGGTCTAAGTGAGGCACTGAGGGGGAGCAGGCCATGGCACACAGAACCACTGAGCACCCATCAGGTCTCTAAGAATGTCCATGCAGCCACTGTGTGCTTCTGGGTGTCAGGTTTGAACCTCCCTAGACCCAAGAACTCCCTGAATGGGAACCCCTCCAACAGCACTGTGGCTCTGATGGGGCACGGCGCACAGAAAGGAAAGCCATGGCAAAGGGCCAACTCAGGCTGCTGGGCCTGGCAGGCCACACACCATGGGAGGAGGCAGGACGCTGCCTTACCTGCTCCTGCAGCTCTGCCAGCCTTGTAGCCCGCTCCTCCTCCGAGTCTGAGCTGCCTGAGTCTGAAGAACTCTCCTCACTGCTGCGACTGCTCTCGGCACCCTTGCTTACCATGGGGGCTGCGGGTGCAGGTAGTGCGGGTGCCTCCACAGGTTCATCAGGCATCTTGGCAAACCTCATCTCAAACACATCCTGGGGGGGAACAGGAGGCTGCCCTGAGCACCTAGACGCCCACAGGGCAGCCCTTCTGCATGACTCCAGTGTCCTGAGAATGCCCTTGATCTGCACCATGCTGCTCATAAGGTCAGACTCTTCGAAGAGACTGGGCCTGCCGGCTGCAGCACTGTGGTGATCCCCTGTTCCACCTCCCTTGACCCTCCCACCCCAGGCAGTTCCCAAGTGCAGTCTGAGCGCAGAGGAACAGGCTGGACAGCCATAGCCCTGGCTTTCCCGGGCCAGGCGTGCAGACCTCCCAGTTAAACCTGCAAGCCTTGTGGAGGCTCAAGGGGCTCTGCAGCCTCAGATCCTGGGATGACAGGAGTGCCTGCCTTGAGCCCTGCACTCTGGTGGAGACCCGGCCACAAGGAACTGGGAGCCAGCTTTCTCGCCACCTGATCCCTTCCCACAGCTCAGTGCAGTGGGAAAGCGCCATCCAAAAGCCAGCACAAAAGGCAGTTTTGTCCTGCCAAAGTCTGCTTTGGAAAGCCCCTCACTAGCTCCTACAAGAGGACCCAGGCCCTCAGAAGCCTTTCTCAGTAAAGGTCACCTCAGGCAGCCCTGGCCCACATCAGAGAGTGACGCATGGCCATGAGGAAATGAGGAGGTAGTCCCTTTTTGCTTGGCTCACACCTGGTCCACACGTGTGGCACGATTTCACCATCAAGCTAGAGCCCAGCTTCCAAAAGTGCCCACTTTGGCTCTGGTCTCTCACTCTCCTCTTGGGTCAAAGTCATCTCCAAGGTACACTGACCCTCAGAACCCTGACCTAAGAAAGCAAGGAGCCAGGAAGGCCATGCTGGGCAGGTCTTTTGGTAATCGGGTAGTGAAACACTCATCACCATGCAGGGAAAAGAATCTCATGAATGAGATTCCCCAGAGGCTCGCTGGTTGGATGCCCTGAGATGTCTATCCTTCCTAGGTGCCTATCTTGTGTGCAGCAACCTGGATACCCACAGTGCCACCTTCAGCTGCTAACCACACCTGTGCCCAGCCTTGAGTTACCTGGAGCTTCCTGGCCATGGCCACCACCTCATGGTCTGGAGGGTTGTACTTGTAACAGTTGGAGAACATTAACCGGATGTCAGCAGCAAAGCCCTGTGCATCTGGGTACTCACGGCTGTCCATCTTCCTCTGTAACACACAAGAGACAGGGCATGAGCTGGTGACAGTCCCAGTCTCAGGAGCTTCGGGACATCCACTGCCAGCCCAAGGGCAGCACTGGTTGCCAGTCAGAACACATAGGAATCCAAGACCTCAGATGTGGGAGCCCAAGCAGAAGGGATGGAAGGTTTCCAATTCCGCATGACGGGTGGTGTTCCATGCAGAAGGCTCTGAGGTCAGGAGCTCCAGGGGGAGCAAGGTGCTCCTGGCTGAAGCTGCTCAGCTCACAGAATGAGACACTGCTTCTTCCCCAGGAGGTGTCAACAGTTGTTACCCAGCTCACTTCTCATAGAAACCTCTCATCGCCTGGGCCCAGGGGCAGCTCCCTTGCAGGGGTGCAGGGTAGCAGAGGCAGGTGGAGCCAACAATGACTCACAGGGACCTGGCCACCAGAGACCCTGCAGCAAAGCCTGAGGCCCTGAGGCAAAGCCTGGATAGACAAAGTTGAGTCGTGGGGCAGGTGGGGGTCACACAGTGGAAGGCAGGAGTGGAGCTGCCAGGCTTATTAAGGTGGTAACAGTGGGGACACAGGAAGGGTAGGCTGCTTATGAGGGGAAAGAACCATCCTGGGAGGCTTTGAGCAGACCAGTTGTCAGGGACCTCAAGGGGAATGCAGGTGGGTGGTGGACAGAGTCCATCCCAACCCTCATAGGGCTAGTCTAGGCGCCAGAGAGGCCAGGTGCCACCCTGTAGGAGTCACACCAACTCTCACGCCTATAGATACACACCACCACCACCATCCCAGACCAGAAAAGAATTGAGCACAGTAGAACCTGAGAGCTTCTTCATGTGAGAGCAAATTCTTACAGTCAGTTTTAGCAGGATCCAGAACCAATCCCCCAAGCTTTACCTTTAAGATCTACATCATATTGAGGGCATCCCTTCCTGCATTGTAATTAACTATTTATGACCTGAACTCCCTCGTGCTCCATCCCGCTAAGGTCTGTTCATAAAATGACATGTGGCAGTGCTGGTCAGGCTCAGCATGACCAGTGCCACCTGGGCTCACCTTGCTTCTACCCAATGCTTGAGAACATGGGGAGCCCGAGAAAAGCTCAGAGACTTCAGAGGGAACTGCTCCAGTCTGGACTCGGGCAAACCAGACTTGGACTAAACAAACTAACCCATGTCTTAGTTAAGCAGCCTAAATGCTGAACTCTGTTACTGCATCACAGTGCAGAGGCACAGACCGCAGCCAAGCCAGATAGAACAAGGCTCCAGCCTCAGCTTCCCAACCCCAGAACAATACTGCTGGGCAGACACGGCTCCTCACTTGTACCCAAATGAACACTGGGCAGGCTGGCATCCACCATTAACTGAGAGAAAGGCATCCCATTCTGCTCAGGTCTGGTATTGAAGGAAATGAGGTAGAATGGTTGAGCCCAACCTTTGCAGGCCTAGATACCACAGATAAAAACAACAAACCACACCTGTATGGGGGCATATTTGTAGGTCCAGAAAAGGCAGCATGCCTGTACCAACTGTTGGGGAGATTGACTTGGAGATCCCCCAGGAGAGGGTTGGAGAACTAAGCCCAACCCAGGCACTGCTGCTGCCTTGCAGGGCCCTTCCCGCATCACAGCTGATTCAAGACCAATCTGCTCAGACTCACCTGGCTCTGACCTGGCTGGACACACCCAAAAGTCAGGAGGACAGGCCATTTCAGGGAAACTCTGACAGGGGAACGGGGAGGCCTGAGCTCAAGCTCTTAGTGCTGTGCCCTCCTCTACCCACTCCTCTTCTATTTGGTAGGACGTGGAACTCAGAGGTGGTTAAGGGGAAGAGCCAGGCTCATCCCAGCTGGCCACACCCCACTTGTCTCTGCTTCAAGCCACCTACATCTGGGATTTCAGGGAAGCTACAAGCAGCTTTAAACTGTGTGTGGAGTCGACACGGCTAAGAACCCCTGGCCTGGTGATACAGAACGGATGGATGGGAGTGAAAAAAAGAGAAATCATAGAACTGGGTTCAACCAGAACAAACAACAGAGCCATAGAACTGGAGACCACCAGGAGAGCCAGGCCCTCCACTGGGCCCTGGGGAGGCCCAGCTCTCAAATGGCTGCTCAGCTAGTACAAGACACCAGCAGCATGAGACACTCAGAAGAGTCAGCTGAGCAGGGATGCCCAGGCGGGCATGAGGCACCCTGGCTCTGCCCTGGGCCACTGCCTCCACGTACTTTAACGGTGCTGAGGTCCATGGGGTGTTTGATGATGTCATGGTAATCGTGCAGCTCCAGCGCCTCTGCATCCACAGGCTTATAGAAAGGCCAGGCATAGGCAGCATGCTTCTTGGACAGCATTTCCCTGAGAATGCTGTCACAATGTCGCAGGTGCTCTGACAGCTTGCCCTTCTTGCCCGCGTGCTGTGGCACCTCGCCGTCCTCCAGGTCTTTCTTGGGTGGCTTGATGGGCCGGCCCCCACTCTCCCGTCGGGCTACAACCTTGGCCTGCTTGGGCTCCGATAATGGTGGGGGCGACTCGCTCCGGCTGGCAGTGATGGCAGATGTTGTGGGTGTGGTTGTGTCTGCTTTCCGCTTCACGCCCTTTTTCTATGACAGCAAAGTAACCAGTGAGCGCCAGAAACAAGGACTGTAGCACAGAGACCTGTCTCGTGGGAGTTGCACATCTGGAGGGCAGACTGCCGGCCAGGCACCGAGCTAGCAGCCACATGCACAGTCCCATTTCATCCTCCAGCTGTCTCCACAGTTCAGAGGACGAGGCTCAAGGGGCCAGGCTGCCAGCCCAAGGTCACACAGCTGGCAGTAGTGAGACTGGGACTCCAAAGTTTACCCTTGCCTGAGGAAGGCCTCTCTCTCCCTCTGTCCTGAGGGCCAGCCATCCAGATGGATGCCCTGAGCAGCATGAGGTGCTGCGTATATCCACCCAGCACCTAGTGAGTCCCCCAGGTCAGACGGACCCTGGGATATGCAAAAATGGGGGACTCCCAGCTTTGAAAGACCAGCAGTAAGTGCCAGACGAGGCCCTGGAGCTGGTGCTTCAATGACAGACATGAGTCGAGCAGGACAGGGGAGGTAGGAGGAGCATTCCAGGCTGGATGGGTGGGGGAGGCCTGACCAGGAGCCGTGAAGCAGCCACAGAGGATTTGAGGCCAAGGGACTGCAGGGACTGTCTGGGTGGGCGCAACTGGACTCTGCAGAAGGCCTGGGCAGCCACGGAGGGCTGCATGGGCCTGGGAACAGTGAGATGCTCTGCAGGACCCTCCATGGGGTGCATGGGCAGAGCCCCAGCCGCCAGAAGGACTGACATGGCCTCCGCCAACTGAGAGCATTTCTAATGTCAGGGTAAGGGGCATGTATCTCTCCCACAGCCTGCAGAGCATCACCAGTGAGTCAGGCCAGGCTCAGTGGGAACCTTGAGACCTACTCGACAGGTCTCTCTCAGCTCAGCTAGGGCAGGCAGAGAAGCCAACAGAAACCACAAACTCCCGGAATGGGTCATGGCCACTCAGGCATCTGCCATTTACAGTCCCACAGTCACCGCCACAGCCAAGCTGCTGCCTTGGGGCTGGCAGGGGCACGAGCCGGCTATCCACAGACACTTAATGGGCACCCATGGGATGCCAAGCACCAAGCGCGTGCTGCAGAGGCACGGCGGAGGGGACGGACTCCTCTGGCTGTGGCAAATGGGACATGCTCCAAAACAGCCCCGTGCCATGGGAGGCGACCTGGCCAGGCACCACTGGGAAGTGCAGGCAGTGAAGGCCACAGGGGAGGGAAAGCAACGGAGGTGGCATTTTACCTTGGGAGAGCCATTTAACCCTGAGCGCCCGCTTCCTCATCTGAAAGAGGGGGGACTACTGCCTGCCCCAGAGGGATGCTGTGAGAATCAAATTGAAAAGATAACACACATGAGGGCCTGGCATGGGCCCTTGCTCAAAGCTGGAAGTCGACAGGCCTTGCTAGCCCCATACCTCGGAGGGAACCCCTGCTCTGTGCTGCGCCCAAGTCAGGCCTGGCCAGGATGGGATAGCACCTGCTGTACAAAGCTCCCAGGAAGCAGAGAGCCAGGCAGATGCCACTGGCCTCTGTTCTCCCCATGTGTGACTCGAGAGGACCGGACCCCACAATGCCCCATTCTCCCAACACCTTTCCCACCTCAACCAGTGGATTGCAAAGGCCAGGGTTGCCAGGCCCTAGAGGCTAAAGTTCAAATCCAGCCTGGCCAACACCAGCCATGTGACCTCCAGCCCCTGAGCCTCGGTCTCCTCATTGGTCAGAGAGAACCTCTTCAAATAGGCAGCATTCAGAAAAAGGCAGCAAGCTTCCTGCCCACCCCAATTCCACCCCAGCTTCAGGAACTCTGTGGGGCTTGGACCCCCTAGTTGTCTTCGACAGCTGGCCACCACAGCCTCAGGAATTCTCACCTTGACAACAGGCGGCGTGGGAGGGACCACAGGGACGATGGGTGTTGCGGGAGGAGGTGGTGCGGCAGCCGGGGGAACAGGGACCGACGTAATGTTTGCGGTGATGGTTGGTACAGGGGTGGCAGCAATGACAGGCGTCTGGGAGACAGTGGGGGGCATGTTCTGGAAGGGGGCCGCTGGGGAGACCGAGGACACGGCCGCCACTTGCTGCGTACCTTCAAGACAAGGACAGGGAGCTCAGCTCCATCCAGGACCATTCCCCCTTCCAGCTGGAGTACACCCAGGCCAGCTGTGAGGGCCTAGAGCCCAGACAGAAGAGCCCTTCCTGCCTGAGAACCCCTGGCCCTGCACCTCATGAATGAGGGCAAGGTCCCTCTGGCCAGAAACCAAACAGGGCTGAGAGAGGAAGCCATGCCAAGCCCACATCCTGGTAGTCGGACCAGTTCTGGGGTGGAGAAACCTGGGACCCAACCGAGACTCCATTAGTTACTAGCTAAGCAACTGGGGACATGGCCTTCCTCACATCCACCTGCTCTACCAGACGTACTTCTAGTCTGCATCTGCAGACCAGGTGGGACCCCAGGGTTTCCAGTACTAATCACTGCCCCCCTCATAGAGAGATCAAGTCCTCTCAATCAAGGAGCCAGCCACGCAACAGTGACACTCAGGGTGACCAAGGATACATCAGGAGTGAGATGAAGACGAAGGAGGGGGACAGAGACACATGACAGCAGTCACATCAACATCTTCCCTGCCCCTGGCCAGCCACCTCTCCAATGTGGCCAGCCCTATAGGCCTTATGTGGCCAAGACCTGGCACCTGCAAGCTCATCATGCCTGCCCCACCTTACAGGCAGTGACATGGCTTGGAGGGGCCAAGGGACTCACATCCAGGCCCCCTGCCCGCCCCACTCCCCTTTACCTGCACTCTGGGTTCCTGCAGCCGGCTTCCGGCCTTTGCCCTTCGGAGCAGGGGGTAACAATTCGACTTCCTCCTGGGGCATCTGAGCCACTTTCTGCAGAAAGATTTTCTCTAAGGCCTGGGCCATTAGCACTATGTCATCTGTGGGCTGAAGACAGAGAGCCCAGGTCACTCGCTGGGAAGAAGACGCAAGCTTGCAAAAGACATCGTGTGTTGTAGCTCAAGAAAAAATTTATTTAAAATTTGTTAAGAGACTTGGTGGGGCAGAAGAGGGCAAGACGAATATATTTCAATGTGGAAAATCTTGGAAAGCATGAAGAATAAAAAACAGCCTTCATCCCATCACATGGAGAAAGGAGCTTCAACAGCTCAGCACCCGTCATCTCTCCTTTACTCGTGTCACTATTAAAAAAACAAAACCCACAAAATCGGGATCATGTCTTGAAGCCTACAGGCCCTATCAGCATCCTCTGAAAGGGCCCACCAGTTTCCACTATCTCCAGCAAGACATCTGGGCAGCATGGATAATTGTAGACCACAACCAATGAAGGTTGGAGGACCAGCGTGTGGCATGCTCTGAACCCAAGAGCTGCTGCAAAGTGCACAGACCCACAGGACACTGGCCAACCACAGGCCGTCCCCAGCCGAGGCCACCCAGTGCCTGAGTCATTCCCACAAAACATTTGGGGCCCACAGCTCCTGCCTCCTTACCTTGTTGTAAATGTAACAATTTGTAAACATGGTGTTGAAATCCTGCATACATTCACTGGCACTCCAGTAATAATTATTCTCCAGTCTCTTCTTAATAGTCCCCATATCCATTGGATTTTTTATTATTTTATGATAATCCTAAGAAAGAGATTTTCAGAGGCATTACTCTTGGATTTCACATTAATTATTTTCACACTTCCCAAGCACAGCAAGATCCTGTCAGCTGGGCAAGCCCAAAGGCAGTTTCTGGTCACCTGGAGCAAGTGGGCATGTGGTCAGGGGCAAGCACTCAGCCAGCTCCAAACTTTTGCCAAACCTCTCTTGTCCCCAAGGAGACACTGGAGCTGGGGCAGACCCCAAGCTGTTTTACATGATGGAGATGGGGCCCAGTTCCTTCTAGGGATTCTAAACCCACAGGGGGGCCAAGCACCACACTGGGCCCAGAACCCAAGCCACCAAGTTCCAACCAACTTGCAACTCTTAGAGTTTCTTTATCAAAGTCCAGATCAAAACTCGGCATGCGCCTTGAATGAAAGAGGGTTTTAAAGTACACTTGGATCTGACTGCAAGTAAGTGGGCACAACAAGTAGGCAGATGCCCAGCCCCTGGTCAGACCACAGCTGCATGGAATAAAGATCCAGGTGGGCCTCTGGTCCTCAGCCCCACTGGTCATCGGGCCCCCGCCCCATCTTCTTCCACCCTGGGGGCCATGAGTTCTTCCTCTTTGCTGCCCCACCCTCCATTCTCCAAGTCCCTAAGTGAACCCAGTGCTCCTTCCAACTGTGGGTCAGAACTGTCACTCTGCCTCACTGCATCCCTCCTGAGGTGTAGGCTGCCTCTGCTCAGCAGCCCCTGCTGCATCACGGGCACTGCCTATACCAAGGCCAGGTGGGTAGAGTTTTCAGGAGCGGGGGCCCAGGGGTCCTCACAGGCAGGTTCAGCTTGATTGCGTCCACGGGTTGGTAGAAGGGCCAGGCAAACTGATGCTTCCAGAGCGTCTTCACTACCACGTTCTGCATGTACTGTAGCTGGTTGGTCTTGCGGCCTGGCTTGCTGGGGTTGGAGACCTCGGGTGGAGGCGGGTTCACAGGGCCCGGGGCCGCTGGGATCCCCGCGGGGGCAGCCGCTGTGGTCGTGGACATTCTCTGGCAGCTTGCTCACTTGCCGTCACAGCAGTGGCTCAGAGAGGCCCTTGTGTCTGCGGTGCTCCCCGAGGAGGCTCGGCATCCCATTTCTGGGCCCAACCAAGCAACACCTGCAGGAGACAAAGAAGGGTAGAGACTGTCACCCTGGGAGCCCCCTCCTATCACACATCAGCAAGGATACCACCTGGTCCCAGCAAGGCCATTGACCTTCCCACCCACCCAGACATATGGCTGTGACCTGTCATGGAACAACTTCAGCCACTGTTCTCCTAACCTGGGGAAGGAAGGGGCTGGACAAGGCATGGGCCACCTGTTCCCAGGTAGGGGATGTGGGGGGCGTGGAGCGAGTGGTGAGAGGCAGGTATGCCGAAGACTTGGTTTCTCTTGGCTCAGTGACTGCCAAACCGCCCACTGGTTGGGGCTGATTTGCTTGTACCGGACCGTCCACTATTCTTCTCTGCAGCAATGTTTGGAAGAACAATTCAAGTATAGAGAACTACGACATGGGCCCAACAGCTGAAGTGGGAGAGACCAGCAGCAACCCAGAGGTTCGCAGACCTACATCCAGCACGAGTTGGGGCCCTCAACTGACGCGTGGCATGAGGTTCTAACGTAACCAGGAGAATGAACTGGGGTTTGTGATGGCGGCAGGCTATGACACGCCTGGCCCTCAGCCAATCAGGTTGGTGAGAGATGGCAACTGCGACCTGAGGTCCCCTTCTCTCCCAGGGCTGTTGGCTGTGTGCTCAGTGAGCAACGTACTGGTGCAGATTTCACCAGACCCAGGCCTAGCTGCCAGGAGTGCTGGCCACACACACAGCTGAGGCAGGCAAAGCAGCCCTGCAAATCTCAGGAAAGCCAGGACTGTGGGGAAAGCAGGAGTGCTGTGTAGCAGCACTGTGCAGGAACACTACGCAGGGGAGCCGTGTAGCAGTGCTGGGGCACCACACAGGAGGAATACTGTGCGTCATGGGCACAATGCAGGAGTACTGTGCAGCAGGAAACCATGCAGCAGAGGTGCCGTGCAGCAGGAACGCTGCAACTTGAGCACAGTGCAGCAGAGGCACCATGCCACTCCCCAGCATTCAAACCCCTTGCTCTCTCCTGAACAAGAAGCTAGGCAGCATGGTGTGCGCCATAGTCCCACGTCCACTTGGGAAGGCCCAAGAGAAACTGCACACTGCACGGGGGGCCTTGCTGGGGCAGCCAGGGCTTGTGCCTTGTCAGTGAACTTTGCTGCCATTTGGGTTTCCCGTGCTTGTGTCTACATGGCCCATGGAGGCAGCACTGGGGGAGGAACAGCTGCTACCAGTCTCTTGTAAGACTTAGGGGATGTTTTGAGCTGGCTGTCATCCTGCTGACCCCTTGAAATCTGCAAGGACGGACATGTTTATACCACAGAAGTTGGTAAGTACCACAAACCAGTGCTCTTACCAGAAAGCTGGTTGTTAAAACACTTGTTAGCACCTACTACAGTGGGCAGATCTGCTTCTTCTCAGTCTAGCCCAGAGCCTGAAAACCTGCATTAGGACGACTCACTGGCCAGGCATCCCTGTCCACCTGTCCCTCACCTGAGAAGCGCTCCTGAGCATGTGGGGCCCCACCTGCATCTGTAGCACAGCTCTCCAAGGAATTACCTTGGGTGCCCACAGCCTGTCTTTCCCAGGGGCACAGGCACCACACACCCCTACATCTTGCCACCCGTTGTGCAGGACCCCAAGGCAGCCAATGGCCATGAGACTGTGTTGTCTTCTCCAGACCAGAGGCCAAGTGGACACAAGTCTCTATCATTCACAGGGCCTCTTCCTAGCCCCAGCCCTGCCAGGCCAGAAATTCCACCCAACACCAGCACCACCATCCCTCAGCAAGATCCTAATACAGTCCAGCTCTGTGCAGCAATGCTGGTCCTATTAACATGTTGGATCAAGTCACTTGTCTGTTAAAGAGCCTCCCAGGCTCTACCTGACTCCATGCTGACTGGTGAGGTCCAAAGTGACCAGGCCCTAGGACACGTGGCTGTTGTAGCCTTGCTGGGTTTCACCCAGCTAGACAGTGGTTGTCTCACACCCTCCCAAGGCCTCTTGGAACCCCCTTTCTACTGGCACCCAGAACAGCAGGGGCTGCAGAGTGGATGCTGAGACATCCCCCAAAGTGGCGATCCCAGCCCTGCCATCTGCCAGCCCAAACCCAGTCCCTCCATTTCCCACAGGGCTTGCTTCAGTTGAAGTTAAGGCACACCGAGCCCAGATGGTACTACTCAGACCACTGTGACTGCTACAGGAGGGCCCTGGAGCCCAGGAGGGAAGCCTGCAATGTGCTCCCACCACCTGGCAGTAACAGGAAGCCAGCTCCCCAGTGTGGGCCAACATGTGGATTGCCAGGACCTGAGGCTGCCCCTGCCACTACAAGAGCCCTGGGAGCCAGGACATGGAGCTGAAATTGGCCAGGTATGGGGACACATGTCACTGGAAGGCCATCTGTGGCTGCAGGCCACAGTGCAAGCTGGAGGATATGTGGCTGTTGCAGCCTGGAGGGTGATAGCCCTGGCCCTCACCACAGGCTGAGTCCAGGCCCTTCCAAGGAGTCCCAACTCCTTGGAAGGCCACGCTAGTCAGAGCAGAGTAGGGTGACAGCAGGGAAAGCGCTCAGGTCCCTGCCGAGTGGGAGGAGCGAGCTGCCCGCTCCCAGGTGTACCAGACAAGGTGGACAAGAGGTAAGAGGGACTGAGGGACAGCAATGACACAGCCAGCATCCATGCTGCCTGAGTCACACCACGCAGTCCCCCTGGGCTGAGCCAAGCAGCCACATACACTTCCCTCAGACAGGCAAGTCTGGTGAGCAGGAGCCATAACCCTAAGTCTGGCCTGACCTTGACCACAATGCATTATGGCCCTCAACCAACCAGATAGCAGCACAGAACAAACCAGGCACAATGGGCACACAGGACACCATACAAGGCTGGAAGGTGAGAACGAGGGAAGAAGATGCCTGCCCTGACAGTCTTTCCCCAGGAAGACAGAGAAGATGGCGAGACCATTTCCCAACTATCAGGGGCAAGTGCAGTGCAGCTGAAAAAGACCACGAGGGCCTACTGAGAGTCAGAAACGGCCAGGGTACACTCTACACAGAGGCTCCTAACAAGAAAAGGGCTATAGTGGGACCTCAACTCCAGCCCCGAGTGCCCTCCAGGAGACAGGGAAGGGGAAAAGGACAGGGTTGGCCCAGCACCCCACATACCTGCCATGAGCAGCATAGCACAATCACCTCAACTTGCTAAGGTGGTGCTTTCACAGCAGTCTTCCCCTAAACACGGTTGCCCTCATGGGCTCTCCTCATAATGAGGCTGGGTGGGGGGAAATACTTGGAAAACACCAGAGGCTTGGGAAGTGGGCCATATCCAGAGTCCCTTCCCTCACCAATGATGACTAGTCCTCATGATGCTCAGGAGAAGCCTTCAAGTCAGAAATGTCCTACCCATAGCTGGGACAAAAGACCTGAGAATCCTTCCTTCCTCCTTTATTTCCAGGGCATTTGGCAATATTACCATGTAGAGGTGGGGTCAGGGCCCAGGCATAGGACCCCAAACACCAGTGACAGGTAACTACAGAGCAAGATAAGCCCAGGGAGGGCCAGCCACAAGGCCTCTCCCAGAACCCCAGAGCTGATGGACACTGAGGGCAGGTCACAGGCTCATAATGAGAGGCGCACCCCTGACATGGTCCACTCAGAAAGGTAGCTGGAGCTAGGTGCTGGCGGCTCACGCCTGTAATCCTACTTATTCAGGAGGCAGAGATCAGGAAGATCGCAGTTCAAAGCCAGTCCAGGAAATAGTTTGTGAGACCCTATCTCGAAAAAACCCATCACAAAAAAAGGGTTTGGCGGAGTGGCTCAAGGTGAAGGCTCTGAGTTCAAGACCCAGTACCAAAAAAGAAAGGTAGCTGGAGCTCCCCCTCTGATTGGTTATGCCAGGAAGCCAAGCCAAGCTCCCCTCCCCTGGCTGACCATCCAAGCCCTGGGGTCTCACCTGTAAGAGACAGATCACCTGAGCACCTGACATGGCTGTCACTTACCAAGTGCTTCCGATCGTGACCACAGGCAGAGAGACATGGGGCCACCTGCAAGGACATTTGGGAGGTGACAGCCAGCTGTGACAATGGGACCTAGGGCTGGGACAAAAAGGAGGTACCCCAAGATCTCAAGTCACCAGGGAGGGACTGCAGCAAGGCACAAGGTCCTCAGACCCAGGGTACCACATGGACAAACTGAAGTGATATTTGGGGTCCTATCTAGTACTTGCAAAACACGGAAGAGTCACGAGATGGACCACTCACTCTCGGGCCCCACTCCACCCCAGGCCAGAGCCTGACCTCTCAGCAACACCTACTCTCCTTGGGTCTCCTGTCCCGACCGTCAACGTTTCAAATTTCAGATGGCCAAATCACAGGTGACTCAAATCAAACACTGTCCTGCAGGGACACATATGCAGACTAAGGACAGCCTTGTGCCTGCTGCAGAGGGGCAAGGGTTTGCTACAGAATTAGAAAACCTTTCACCCCATTTTCAGACCTGCAGGACAGTGGCCCTGAGGCCAGAAAGGCTTGGAGGCCTGGAGTCCCCTCACCAAGTTTTCCACATCCCTGGAAGGGAAGGGGTGGTCAATAAGGCCCATTTTACAATCCAGGAAAAAGACATGCAGCAATAAGGGGAAGCCTGGGGCCAGCGCCAGAGCACACCCCAGTTGAAGCACACAGGACTCTGGAGTCCACCTTTGGGCCAGTTTGCTAGAAATGCTTGCTGGAAGTATGGAGGGTGCTGACCTTGACACTAAATATGTGATCATCTTTTGCAACCAGAGCAGATACTTTGGGGTGAGGGTGTTGCAGTTAAGTTTTTAAAAGTCCTCATGTTTTAGAGGTTCATATGGCAAGTTCCTAATGGAACGTGGAGCTTGCTGGCATATAACAGGAGGAGCTGAAGACCAGCGGGCATCTAGACAAGTGGAGCTGCACCTTTCATGCCCATCCCAACTCATCACACTCAGAAGAGGATGTGCCCTCCTCCTCACCCCAGCAATGTGAGAACTAAGACCACAACCAAGCGAGAAGCCAGGGCGGGAGCAAAGGGCACTAGAGAGACCCCAATCAGAAGGTACACACATCTGTAAGCCACAAAGTCTTCCTTGCACCCCACCTGTCCCAGTGGGTAAACAACAGGGGGTGGGTGTCTGCTCTGGGGCAGAAACCAGTCTCCTAGATACCAGCCTGGATGCACAAGGCAACTGCTTTCACTACCACTCTAGCGGTCATACAACTAGCAGTCCACAGTCATCACCAAGCGGCCCTCTGACCACTCCTGGACTCCAGACAGCTCTTTACTGCAAACAGCACCCTGTAAGTGGACCATATTCCCATCCACAGCCTCACCCAGCCTACTGACCCTGTCCTTGGCAAACCAGGGCAAAGAAGCTGCAATCCCTCTGGGGACGGGCCCCAGGAAGCCACCATTACTGCTGTTTTGATGAGTACCTGCTCTGGCTGGGTACAGCAGGGCAGGGATGGAGCCCCATGTCTCAGGGGGAAACTGAGGTTCTGTGACCCTTTCTGAGGCCCACCTCCCTCAAGCCTACCACTCAGCAGCCAGCCAGCCACCTAGGGAGCCCATGCCAGGGCCCAGTAGGGGTAGGGAGGCTGCTGGGCACGTGGGTGAAAGTTGGCCTGAAACTGGCCTGGTGAGGAAAGGATATGAAACTGCCCGGTGAGGAAACTCAGATAAACCACAAGAATCCTCAAACGCTGAGTGAAAGCCCGGGTCAGCTGGTTCTGAGAGACCTTGGAGAAGCAAGTGCCACACAGAGGCTGCCAGGCTCATGCCCCAACACAGGGGACAGTGACACACCCCCATGCAGGGGGGGCAGGAGAGGCTGGCCTGTATAGACTCCCCCACACGCCAAGCCCATGCTGGACAATGGAGGACCTGAATGCTGCCAGTCCTCCCATCTTTCTGTGTGGCCTCAGACTGCCTGCCCCCCCGCCCCAGGTCCCTGGACTCTGCCTTTGTCCTCCACAGGGATCGGAGGACCTGAACGAAAGCAGAAATCCAGCTCTTTAGGCTTGCCCAGCCAGGAGGACACAGCAGCATCCGCATCAGGGTTATCTCGGGAGGAGCTGAGCAATCCCCACCATGGAAACACCAGAAATGTCAGCTGCTGCCTCCTGGCCACTCCCGCCACCCCACAAGCTATGGGATCAGCCCTACCCCAAAGGGAGATGGAACACTGGTAGCAAGGCCAGCCTAACCTTCAAGCTTGGCAGAGAGTCAGCCAAATAGCCACTCACTCAAGGATGTGGGCACCCCTCTCCATGCCAGTCCCTGGGTCAGATCAACCATGGGGAAGTCATCAGACTGTGCAGGTATTGCCAACTTGGCCTGGCCCCATAGTGGGGAGCCCTTTTCTTTTTGGGGGAGGGAAGGAACCCCTGCTTTAGCATAAGTTATACTGGGAGGGCTGTCTGGGAAAGCTGCTCTGGCTATAGGTGGGGAGGGACAGGAAGGGGCAACATAAGGCTGGACAACAGAGGAGCAGAAGACATCCTGAGGGGCATGTGAGCATCTGTGCTTCTGGGGCTCGTCCAGGCAGGAGGCAGCAGCACAGGGCACAGGTTGGGGGGGGCGGGCAAGAGGACTGTAAGACAGGTCACATGGGGAGTCAGAGGTGGGAAGAGAGCAGGGGGAGGGGATGGGAGGCTCCTGGGTCTCAGCTGGGGACTCAAGAGTGAGGTGGCTTTGATCTCCTGTCCGGTCCTGTTCAGATCCACTACCCCACCAGCCTCAAGGGTTCAAAAGGGCTGTTTCCTGAGGTGGTTAGGGACTTGCTTCCTCTGCGCCCCAAGGACTCATGTCACTGGAGGTCTCCATACCCCAGTCTCCCCATACTGATGGCCCTCCTTTACCCTTGGCCTCTGTATCCCAGTGTGGCCCCAGTGCTACTCCAGCTCAGTGTCCTTGCTGCTCCCCTTAGTTTGGCACCAGTGGGTGTCACACCAGATCCACCTTCCAGGTGGGAAAGGGGCAGTGCATAAGCTGCACGGCCAGCAGGAGTCAGAGTCTAGCTTGAACAGGGCCATCCACCTCATACCCCAACCCCATGGAAATGTCCCAACAGTGCTAAGGGGCTCTGGCAGACATGCAGGGAGCTGAGTGTCCTGGGAGTGGCCACACTGGGCCCAGCCCTCCAGACCTCAGGAAACTGGATCCTAAGGGCAGGGTTAACTTCAGTGACAGATGGGGCCAACTGCTTCCTTCTAAGGAAGGGCCTCCCAGTAGCCCCAGGGCAGGACAGACGGGCATAGGCAGGGTTCCCCATCCACTGCAGACTCCCCAGCAGGCACTGCCTGGCCCTCCCTGCTAGTCACCCCTGGTCAGCACCCCATGCTCACCCTGATTGGATCACACCAGCCAACGGCAGCCCAGGCCCCCTGGCAGGGAACCCTTGTTCTGGCAGAACCGCCCCATCCCATGTAGGGCCACCTCCGCTGAACCTATGGGGCTGTCCTATGAAGGGCACGTGGACACTCAGTGGCAGCAGCTTGCTGTGATCATTGCATAGTGTTCCATTCTGCCACCCCCCCAGTACTCCTTTCACTTCCTGAGTTTGGATTTTCCTCAGGCCTCAGGCAAGCTCCACCCCAGCAGCCCACCTAGGGAAGCCAGTCCCTCCCAGACTCCGTTCCCAACCCCACATGCACCCCTGAAGTGCCCCATCTCAGTTGCACTCCCCCACTTACACCCCTCACCTCCTTAGGTCCCACTGCCTCACAATACCCAAGGCAAGCAAGCAGAAAGGACGCCTCATACCCACAGTTCCTCCCAAGGGCTATGAGACACGCTTGCTGGCAGAGATGGTAATTCCTGACCAGAGCCAGTCACTTCTCTGGTGAGCTCAATGGCTGTGCTGCACTGAGGGGCGCCCTGCAAGGGGGGGCCCGCTGAGCGCTCAGGAGGGTGTACTGCACAGGGACAGTGAGAGGACACTTCACCCTGCAGAAAAAGGGGGCACAGTCCCCTAGGATCAGGTGGCCACAAACTAATAGAGGAGCGGCCCTATGGAGTGACCCCCACGAGCACCACCGGTTGAGCACTTTCTAGAACAAAGCTGGGTTGCAGGGTGCACCCAGTATCCTCATCTGTTGGATCACAGAATATCTATCTGCTCTTAGGTAGCCTGACAAGAACCCAACCAGCAGTTCAATTTACAGATAGATAAACCAAAACCAGGGTAGGGCACTGCCTCACTGAGTGCTGGGCCCTGCCTGGGACGAACTCGGCCTCAACTCGCCTCTCCAACCCATACCCCCTGGACACCTTCCAAGCAAGATCAGGAACCAGGATGGGAGATCCAATGTATTCGCCCACGGCCTAGCTGCTCAGCCAGTCCAGCTTCCCGTACAGGTGTGATACAGGTAATGTCAGCCAAGAGCAAGAGAAAGCACTGCGCCTGTCAGCTGTCTACACAAAGCTGTCTTCCCCAGGTCCCTCCCTCCCTCCTGTCAGTACAGGAGAAGGAGCCAGTCCCTTCACTGCACTCAACAGATAAAGTGAGGCTGAGAAAGTCCAGTCTCAGCCTGGGATGCCATGGGGTTAAGAAACACAGCAGCAGATAGTAGGAGGGACAGGAAGCCACAGCCGCCACTTTGCCCTGTGCTGTCGAGGGGTGGCTGGCCTGACATTCCACTCAGCAAGGGAGTGTACCTGCCATGAGTCCACAGTCATCTACCCCTTCCTTGGCACAAAGCTGGTCCCAGAAAGGATCTGGTCAGCTCCCAGGGGCTCTGTCTGGTGGTATGAGAAGACAGTGGACAGCTGGGCACCCATGCTTTACCTCCCTCCCCCCCAAGACCATCAGGCCACACTGCCCAGTCAATTCTTCCTTTCACTACCCACCATAATGCACCAGCAGACACACACACTGACCCCCAGATGGCAGCAGCTACCTGTACCATGGGCAGAAATGCACACGCAGGACCTTGCTCAGTCACCACAAGGAAGCTGAGGACATCCTGCCTCCATGACCACACTCCCAGGGAGAGACTCTGAGCCTCACCTCCTCAGGACAGTTTTAATACCTGTGATGTGGATGTCCGCTCTTTCCCAGGCACCAGGATTCTCCTCTGCAGGTCACACTGTGTCTGGATGTCTCTTCCAGAAATGCCAAGACACTAGTCAGGAACCCCAACTTCCAACTCTGGGGAGACACCTGATCAGGACACTCGGACATCACTGTGCCCTTGTGACACTTTCCAAGCAGCTGGAGAAAGCCTCCAACACCTCATTAGCTTCTAACGGACTCTGCAGAACTCAGGGGCCTGTGATGGTGAGGCGCTTTTGGAGATTATCAAGGCCACACAGAGGAGGTGCAGTGAGAACTGATTCCCTCAAATGAACACATGGTCAACGCACTGAAACAACGGAGCCAAAGCCCTGGCCACACACACAGCTGCTGGCAAGCAGGTCCCCACAGCTCCATGCAAACTCGGATCTAAACTGGCCAAGAGGCTTACACAGAAACCATCAACTTGTGAGCCACCCAAAATGGAATGCCTTCTCTTAAGAAGGGCCCTGACATGGCTGGATTCCCCACTGGCAGCAGTGGTCACAAATACACAGGGTGGGGGCAAGACTGTGGCAAAACCTTGCACAAACACACCGGCGCCCAGCTATACCTACAGCACTTGATCTCTTCTGCAAAGCCTCAGGTGGGTGGGACCCAATTCTCCAAGACTCTTGCAGGAGGAATGCTGCTTTCCACCACAACTTAAGGTGAAGGAAGGAAAAAGCCTCAACTAGATACCAGCTTCGTGGCACAGGTACATGGGACCTGCCTGCAACCTGATGGGCCAGCCCAGGAGGCAAGAGGGGGCACCCCACAGCTCAGCCTGGTTACTCAGCCAACTGCTTCCAAATATGAGACATGCAGGGTGGCTTCACGAGTTCCCAGCTGCAGCTGTGGCAGGGGAAAGAGTAAGAGCTCCAAACCCGCCCCTAGCACCCTGTGGATCCAGGAACTATGGGCTCTTCTCCACCCAGCAGTTGGACACCATGCAACACAGCTGTTACAATCTTGTACCAAACATTCCCCCCTCCCAGACCTCTCCCACTGCAAACCAGGAAGTAGACAAGGCAATCCTGGGAGGCCAGGGCACAGGGTTCCAGGGCAGGCCAGAAGTCAGGAACCAGGGCTGTAGCAGTAGGCCTGGCCCTTCCCTTACCGCACTCCCCCACTTTCACTTTCTGTGGACGACTGCCTTCTGGGTCTAAGGGAGAGAAGAGTGTTTATGAACTCCATCCTCTATTCAAAGCTCACTTCCCGAAGCAGACTCCAGCGCTAAGGAAGAAAAGCAATTATTCTACTTTCTAACGACAAAAAGAAAAATCCAACTGAGGTCTACTGCCCACTCTGAGAAAACTTTTTAAATCCCTCCTCCCTGGAAATTCCAGCCGCAGGGCTAAGACTGGATCTCCACAGTTGCTAGAACTATCTTTGCAGACACCTGGCGCCCCACTCAAGCACTGGGCCCTGAGGTTACAGCAAGGTCAGAAAGAAATGTCCCCCACCTCCGGACACCAGCCAAGTCCAAGCCTTATCTCTCCGGATCTATAACCACCAGCACACTTCAAGGCCTAAGACAAGGAAGGCAAACACAAACCTTTATTTGCAAATGAGAGGTCACACTCTGGGGTGCCAATGAAAGTCCCCCTCCCCGAACCAGGAAAGGTCCCCTAAGGCCTGACACTCGTCTTTGCAGTACTGCTTTTCCAGGGCCCGGGGAAACCAGTAAGAAACGCTCCCCCAAAACCTGCCTAGCAGCTTGGCAAAGATTTCAGGATCTCCCCAGGGGCACCCCATGGGCACAAGACGATTCTCCATTTTAAAGAGTAAGGAAGTCTTCAGACAGCAGAAAGAAAGAAAACTACGTGGTTCTTCGATCTCCCTGGGGGGAGGGGAGAAAAGGGCAGGAGTCGGGGTCCGGTGATTCCTTCACTAACGCTTCTTGCGCCCAGCCCGGTAGGTTGCCACCCCTACCTCCGCCCCCTTTAACTTCTGCAGACAATAACCAAGTTTAAGGTAACAGGGAAACACCAGCTATGGAATTCTGAGCAGAAAGCTTTCAACCGAAATGATGGACGACAGACACTTAGGAACCCGGCCCAACAGCGGGAACTCAGAACGGACCCTGGGCCGCTCCTGGTGGGTCTCGGCGCCCCTGACCCCAAGAGCCAGGAGGCCGCCCAAGGCCTCCACTGCGGCCCTGCCCCCGTCACAGCCACCGATGAAGCGAGAACTTCCCGAGCTCCCAGTTTTATTCACATGGAGCCGCCTAGGGTCACGTACAAGGTTTGGGGTGCGCATTCCTCCCCAGATGGGCTTGCATGTTATTAGGCCGGTGCCCACCCCAAGGGGGAAGTAGGGAAGCACCCCACCTCTCCCGCTCCAACTCGACCTCGCTCGGATTAAGAGCTCTTCAAGCTGATTTCAAAATGAGAACTGGGTCTCCTCCGGGCCTGGCTGCAATAATCCAGCAACTCTGAGGGGTGCAAAGTCGACTCTGGGGGCTGTAACTCTGGGAGGAGGCCGCCGCCCCCCAATTGCGCCGCCGCTTCTCAGAGAGGCCGCGCAGAGACCAGGCCTGGGCCCAGCCTTCCTTGTCCCCCGCCGGGGCCACGACGGTCCCCAGCAGGCGCGGGGAAAGTGGCGCCGGAACGCACAGCTGCGGCCCGGGCACGCCGCGCGCAACTCCCGCGCCGCGTCCTCCTGGGTTGTCCCCTTCGGAAGATGGCGGGCAGAGGAAAGGAGAAAAAAAATCCCTTCCGTGAGGGAGGGCTTGCGGAGGCCGGGCTGGCGCGGGGCGCGCGGGCCGTGCCAAGTCCGGGCTGCGCGCCCCGGCCGCGGCGACGCCCCCGAGCCCCAGACGGAGGATGCCGGGACGGCGCGGGCACAGGGCGGAGGTGAGCAGAGCCCGCGCCGCCGCCGCCGCCGCCGCCGCGACCCCGGACGGCTGCCGCGCTTTGTTGCATCGTGGCCGCGCACAAAGGCGGCGGCGGCGGCGGCCCCGGGCACCCAGCTCCCCGGACGCGCCGAAGGCCTGCACGAAGCGCTCGGGGCCGCGCTCCCCTGCCAGGCCCGCCGCCGCCCGCGCCGCCCGCCGCCCCGCGCGCGCAAGGAAGTAAGAGAAAGGCGTACTTGGCCTCGGCGGCTCCGGCGCCGTCCCCTCCCGGCCCGCGCGGCCGGCTCCTCTTTGGCTCGCCGGCCCCGGCAGCATAATAGACGCGCCGGAGCCGAGCAGGGCTCATGCGCTGCGCCGCGGCGCCTGGCGGGAGTCGTAGTCCGTGCCCGGGCCCGCGCCAGGGCCGCCCAGGGGAGGCCGAGGCGCGCGGACTACATGTCCCGGCCCCGCCGGCGCCGGGCCCCGCCTCGCGCGCCCCCGTCCGCCCGCCCCGCCGACCCGGCCGCGAGCGGGCCGGCCCGGGGGCGCGCGGGGCGGGGCTCGGTGCCCGCCCGCCCATGCCCGGCGGCGACGCGGAGACACCCCCCCCTTCCCACCCCCAGCGGCCACCTCCTCTTCGCGGGCTCGCGCCGCACTCCCGCGCTCAGGAACGTGCGCCCGTGGGTGAATTTCTAGGCGCTCAAAGAGGCGCGGAAAAGGCGGGAGTGCAGCCAGCACCTTCGGTCCCCGCCCCGGTACCCCGGAGCCCGTGGGGGACCGCCCTACAACCCCGCGCGCGCACTTGCCCCGGAGCCCGTGTTTGTAAACAAACCGCGCTCCTAATTAGTCTGGCGGGGGCGCGCGCGAGGGCGGGGTGGAAGCGCGCACTGGGCGGGCCTGCGGGGGAGGAGCCGCACTGGACCGCGCCCCTCACCGGCTGCCCGGGACGCGCTGGGGCGGGGTTCAGTCCTAGCCGCTGGACTCAGGAGTAGGGTGGGCGCCGGCGTTAGAGAGAGCGCCAAGTCCCCAGAGCTGGCTAGGAGCACGGGATGTTCTTGGCTCTGTCCGGAGACCTGTTACCAGCCCCCGAGCCTCGTTTCCCCCGTGTGCCCAGGAAGAGACCAGAAGGAGATAAGTCCTTAACCTGAGGACAGGGCTACCAACACACCTTTTCTATTTTTTTGAAAGACAGCTGGGGGACATGTCTCGGATTTTGTTTGGGGTGAAAATTACGCGCACACATAAGTCAATTTGCACGTTGTGTCCGTTAGACCCCACTAAAAACGTCAAAAACAAAGCAAGTCTTTCCTGGGCCCGCTGAACCTGCCAACAGCAAGGTTTGAGTTTCCTTGTGTGGGCTGGATCCATCCCAAGCCACTGGGGTCACTGAGTTTATTTCAGGTTGAGCAGGAATTCCGCTGCCTGCGGAAAATGCTCGGATGTTTAACATATTAAAGCTAGCGCCAGCGCTGCTCCGGCGATTCACCCACCTACACTCACACCCATCCAGAAGCAGGTGTTCTGAGCCCAGGTTACAGGTGAGGAAACTGGGGCTGTGGAGGGACTTTTCCTAGGTTTCGGAGCCAATATGTAGGAGAGCTGGGACCCCAAAGTCCCCGATCCTTGGAAACACAATTTTTTGGAGAAACCAAAACGGCTCCATGCTTTCCTGGCTTTCTCTTCTCTTTGCTGGGCTCTCCAGAACCAGGCAAGGTGCTGGATGCAGGATCTTTGATTTTTAGTTTGCAAACTGGCCTGAGGACACAGAAGGCAGGGCACCAGAAGGTCAGGGTAAGGAACTTGTGGACCAGAGGGTCTGAGGTAGACTCAGACCCCCATGCCCTGCTGACATTCTCCAGCCAGAAGTCCCGATGAGGGTCCTTGCAGAAGTGCAGCCACCTGGACACCTCCTCCACTTCCTGCCACCTGACTTTCATTCTCCTGGACACCTGAGCACTCTGGCCATCAAAACGGGCCACCTCACCACTTTAAAAGTCCTGAGTAGTTTGCACAGGCTGTCTTGACCACTTAGGGCCTGGACCAAGTACACACTGTAGACTATCCTGACCAGCCAGGCTATCAGAGGTTCCAACCATGCCCTGGTGCCATTCTTGGGCCTCCCACTGACCCCAGATGACCCCTCCTCTCAGAGTACAGCAGGGACCTGGCCCTTCTCTCCCAATGCTGCCCATTTGCGCGTGTGGCCCACATGACTGTGAGGAGCAGCCTCTCCTGGGGCCGATGGAGTCTCTAGGAGGGAGTCTGTAAGAAATGGGGCAGAACCTCACTTAGTGTGGCAGCCCTGTGCTGGCCACCTGAGTTGCAGGGGCAACTCCCCAGAGCCTGCATGCGTGGGAAGGGACTCTGGATGCCTGCCCTCTCCCCAGCAGCCCACCATCCTCTCCTTCTCCATGCTAAGGTTCTGGGAGTTTCACCACCACCCAGGTTGGGCTTGGGGTGGGGCTGCTGAGCCCCTTGCTGTTTCCAACCTGGCTTCTTCCTCTGTCAAAGAAGTGTAAAAATAGGTCCTGGTCCTTCAGCCCTGGGAAGGGATGGGTCATGTGCCAGGTCCACCAGTGGGCAGAGCAGACCTTTGCCCCCCACACACACTGGCATCCATCATACCCCTCTACCCAATTTTCCCACTCCCCAGCCTGGGTATCCACTGTCTCCCTCCAGCAAGCTGACTCCAAGAGAGAGCAGGACTCTGTCCACTGCTGCACATGGCACCTAGTGGGTACTCAGTAATTGTTGAATGAATGAATGTTTTCTGAATCCCTATCCTGCCCTCCAGCCTTCACCTGCAGACCTCAGTGCAGCCAGACAAGTAGTGCTGTCTGCTTGACCTCAGTGCACCAGGTAAGCAGCCACCCTGATCACTCCTCCCTCACAAGACCCTACAGAAGGGCTTAGAGCTGAGCTCCAGCCACTCCTCCAACTTCACACTTGCCCCCTGGAGGCACTGAACAGTTACTTTGCAGCATTATGGTTCAAACATCAGTTTCTTAAAAGTTTTCTTGTCATGAGTCTTTCCCCAAGAAACTGATCAGCTCTTATAACAACTTTAAAAAAAAAAAAAACCATAAAGAAGGAGTTTCTGTCTCCACTGAGCAAAGCCTGGGCTACAGGGAACTCTAGAGAGGGGCAGGGAGCAGAGACTTCTATTTATGTAATAATTTATGGACTGCTTGCTGTGTGCCAAGCACTGTCATTTCACTTAATCCCAGAACGATTTTCTGAGGTAGGATCAATATGCCTAGATTACAGTGAAAACAAGGTGAGGTGAGGGGACACTGCCAGCCCAGGCCACGGTGCAAACCCATTTCATCTGCAACATGTGTCCCTAGAGCCTGAACTTGTAGGAGTGGGGGACGAGCTGTCTTCTCGCTGAAGCAAATGTCCTCATCCGGGTGTGTTAATTGGTTCTCTTAAAAAAGGGACCGGGGGCTGCCCACAGAGGGGGGTAGCATTGGAGCTGAGCCTTCTTGCTTTCCTGTTCTTTTTGCCCCCAAAATAGAGGGCTGTTTATACAAAAGCAAGAGTAAAGTCCTTACAGCACAGAGTGGAAAGGTCTCAGGTACAGCCTGGGGGCTCTGGTGAACAGTCAGTGAACCACAGGCAGCTTTGAGAATCTAGTTGTAGAAAGACAATCAGAAAGAGGCAGGGCAGAAGTCGGGTGCCACACATTCTCCCCCTCAGACTCAGGCTTCAAGTCTGTAAGGTGGGGAGGATAAGCATCTGCCTTGCTTTCCTATTTGGCTGCAGGGTCCGGTGGGGCCTGAGCCCTTGCTCCTGCAAAGGATGAGCTTTTAAAGGATCCAGGGCTGTAAAACTAACACAGAGCTGAGTAATGTGGCTGGCAGAAAGACTTGGGTGGAAAAAGTAGGGGTCTTCACTTTATTGAATATTGGGAAGATGTTACTTGTCCAGCTGATGCAACAGAGTTGGCCAAAAGGAAAGTCAAGGGGGAAGCAAGATAAAAGATGCTTCAAAGCATTATTAAAAATGTCTGGATCCCCATGAAGCCCTACGATACCCAGGCTTACCAGGAGATCTGGGTAGGAATGGGGTTGATGAGTTTCATCGTTTATAAGATCAGGAGCGCTGAAAAAAGAAGTAAAGCTTTAAAAGGTTCCAGTCCTGCACCTGCTCATGGTCATCATTAACCAGCTCCCTTGAGTACACACAACATGAAACATCAATCTGCCTGTAAATTTCAATAAGCTTTGTTAGATGAGAACACGGGACCTTGCTGTACACTCGTAGGAGTACCATGTACCATGTGGTATGAATAAACTGTGTCTGTGAGATACAAAAACAAAAAGCACCTGCCTCACAGAATAGCTGTGAGGACAGAGGAGGCAGAAGGAGCTGGTGCATCCACACATTCATGCTTTTGTTCCCTCCAGAGATCTTGAAGGACCACATATTCCCACTACCTGGCACTGCCAGGTCAGCAATGACAAGAAAAGCCCCAGCTATCGTGGAGCTGACTCGTCCAGTACAGACGTACAATCAATCCTAAGTGAGCAGGACTGCAGGGTGCTAGGACAAAAGTGCAGCAGGGAGTGGAGCCAGGGAGCCAGGCTGGTGTGGTCGGGAATGCT